TTGTCACAAAATCAAAGGAATAAACTGATAAGTACAGTCTGTTCAGAGGAAAGAAAGACTTCCTTCTCGGGGTCCATGTTCTGGAAAGCTGTCCTCAGCGCTGCGCATGCCACGGCCCTCTTCAGCTGTAGGTATACTCTCACCTCTCGAATAAAAGTACCCCCTGGAATAAAAGTACCCCCCGGACAAATCTTCAAAATGTAATAAAAGTACCCCCTGGAATAAAAGTACCCCCCGGAAAATTTTAAAAATTGACATGTAAGCAACGTCTATGCTCCAAAAATGTGTTCTCATGGTGTATATATGTGTGCGTCTATATGACCTTGTCACTTGCAACTATTGACAGGTCCTGAATAAACATACCCCCTTGAATATGATTCCCCCAACAAATCTTCAAAACCTAATAAATATACCCCCAAAATAAATGTGCCCCCTGGAAAATTATCAAAGTCAACAGCCCGTATTCTTATACAGGTTTTTGAGGAGTATATGCATCACTTGCAGTGTAATATATATTACACTGTCATACATCAATATGACTTCTCTGCATTCATACAATTTGTTGTTGATCATTGCATTGCATCAGCAGGAACAGTAATATATGAAGTTTTAAAATAAGAGTAGATTTTTTACAGCTTGGTAACTATCAGTAAGATTTCATTTAGAGCTCATGAAGTTGAACATATGCTTAACATATGCTCTATACAAATTGTGATACTAGTTTGTAAAAGCCATGTGCAAAAGAATTTATAATCATCTACAAGTATTTAATGTTAAAGCGACTTAAACATAATTATTTCTTTTTTATCTTTCCCAAATTTCCATTTATGCATTGCATATTTCTCTTTTTTCCAAAGTAAATGATCAATGCTACATCCTAATCACAGTTTCAAACAAATGGCAACATTGTAACACATTGCATTTCACAACAGTCCAGAGTCAAGGGTTTTATGTTACCCTGCTACGCTTTGAAGTGTGCCCAGTGAGATATGCAAATGAGTAGAGGCGGGGCTTCAAGTTTAGAACTCAGTTCTTAGAAAAAACTGAGACATTCTTTTTGAAGGGGGGAAACTTTTTGCAAAATATTTCTCTGTGAAAGTTCATACATTAGACTGCAATTATACTCCTATTTTTGGTCTTTTACATTAGAATTTGCTTTGTTAATTGCAAATTGCTTATGTCTATTTTTGAGAAAGAGTTTTATCTGTAATTATAAAGAATATAAATNCTATACAAATTGTGATACTAGTTTGTAAAAGCCATGTGCAAAAGAATTTATAATCATCTACAAGTATTTAATGTTAAAGCGACTTAAACATAATTATTTCTTTTTTATCTTTCCCAAATTTCCATTTATGCATTGCATATTTCTCTTTTTTCCAAAGTAAATGATCAATGCTACATCCTAATCACAGTTTCAAACAAATGGCAACATTATAACACATTGCATTTCACAACAGTCCAGAGTCAAGGGTTTTATGTTACCCTGCTACGCTTTGAAGTGTGCCCAGTGAGATATGCAAATGAGTAGAGGCGGGGCTTCAAGTTTAGAACTCAGTTCTTAGAAAAAACTGAGACATTCTTTTTGAAGGGGGGAAACTTTTTGCAAAATATTTCTCTGTGAAAGTTCATACATTAGACTGCAATTATACTCCTATTTTTGGTCTTTTACATTAGAATTAGCTTTGTTAATTGCAAATTGCTTATGTCTATTTTTGAGAAAGAGTTTTATCTGTACTTATAAAGAATATAAATAATTGCCCCCCCCACACAAAAAGTGAGCTCTGCCGACCGTGAGAAACTACATGTTTACGTATTTCACTGCATGAGAATTGGACTTTTTCCAGCGCTAAATTTTCATATTTGTGGTAGGATTTTCGACTTTTTGAGAGTATCACATGTTGTTATTGCTAGAATACATTGTTTTGTGGTATTATTTTAACATAGTCCCAAGAAAAAGATCGTTCTGAGCAAGGAGTTTTGAGTGAGATGTGTGTGCATGTTGCGTGAAAAATGTTGCAAATTTCGCCAATTTTTCTTTACATAACGCCCCTTATAGTTCATATTTTTGACACAATATGTGTTCCCAAATATAATTTACATGTAAAAGGGAGGTAATATGTTCTTAGACTTGCCGTGATTTTGAAAACTTCGTAAACGTACCGTGCAAAACAGAACGTACCGGGACATTTTCAATTGCTGTCGGCTGGGCCGGGAGAAGTGTTTTTTTTTGTCATTTTACATTCAGGACCGCAAATTTTCCCGGAACTTTTCCGATTATGAAAAAGAAATAAAAGTACCGTCTAAAATAAGAATGTACCGGGTGGATTTTGAGGCGAAAAAAAATAAACGTACCGGTACGTTTAATAGAGAGCTGAGAGTACTTTGCCTGTCGGCGCGCCAAACACCCCACCCACGGGCCGGGCGGTAAGATTTCATCAAAGACTACATTTTAAGTTAACTTCGCCCCTATCATTGTAGCTTGCCGAACAGTCGAGTAGGAGTATATCTAGCTGGAATTTTCACGTCGCACTGGCTGGTGTAGCCCGCTACAAAGTAATTTCCTGTGGCATCTATCAAGATTTAAAAATATTTGTGATACGAAGTGAAACAAGGTTAACAATTTCTGAACATTTGAAACGACACGGGCATATAATCTTTGTTGAAGATTCCTGAGTTGAACTCAAGCCGGAAGTGTAGTGGAAATGATGACCATCAGGCGAGGCACAACTGTTATGTTATCACATGTTACGTTACGACGATCAAGAACGTTCACGGCTCGCGGACCATTTCAAATATTACCACTCATAAACCCTACAATTGTATGTGTACTTACGTGAGGTTATATTTTTTGCCGGGGTTCCACTGAGATCGGCGCCGGCTAGCTGGGGAACGATCCTGTCGGCATGACAAAGCGCCGGGCGTCATTGCCAGAAACCTACATTTTCTTACCGTGGGTGACTTGACTTCTTCTTTTACCGCAACTTGGTGTCAATATCGACGAAAATCACAGGAAATATGTTCATTTATTGAAGTTTAACTTTATTTCCACTCGTCAATATTCTTATCTAAACATGCTATGGACGAATCGATGTCGTTCCAAGCTCCCCGTGCCGGTGTCGGATTTGTCCGCGGAAAACTCAAATAAAGTACGCACCGCGACTTTGGCGACTGCCG